CAATAGTGCAGAATTCCGCGCTTTTAACAAGAAGTGGGATTTTCGGCACCTACCCATCAGCCCGTACCACAGTCAATCAAATGGGAAGACTGAGTCAGCGGCGAAGGAGGCGAAGAAAGTACTTATCAAAGTAAAGGAGACCCACGAGGATCCCTACATAATGTTGTTGGAGCGAAGAAACACGCCGTCTACCGAGATCGGAGTAAGTCCGGTGCAGCGACTATTCAGTCGCAGAACAAAAACGCTGCTACCGGCCGCTACAATGCTACTACAGCCCGAGATAGCACAGGAACTTCTGTGCATAACTGATTATGGAAGAGGATGCTAAAACAAAACAAGTACTATGGTCGTGGATCGATATGTCTCCCACCCCTAGCTGTAGGGGAAGATGTATCTGTGCAACCAATATCAGACGTTGGCGGAGAGGAGTGATGGTCGCAGGGTTGAAAGAAGCCAGGAAGTCAGGATAGGGAGCAATATCATTAGACGGAATCGGGTGCAAATTAGGAGAGTACGTGATGGACGGACTCCGCAAAGCGAGAATCGACAGCAGTAACGAGAAAGGGTGCCTGAAACCTCAGCCCGAGACAGCAAGCGTACACGCAGCGGAAAGCCGTACGGAACTTATTGCAACAACATATTAAAAAAAGAAAAGGGAAAGGATGTGATGGTGACTGAAAGCTGGGGCGAAGGGAATCGCCTGCCTCCGTGTGGTCGATCTGGCGATCGATCGAGCAGACGAGTGAATTTTTAAACACCCAGCTAATTGTCCTTTGCCTCAGACTGGGGAATAAAACCTTTGTGTGCAGAGTCGGAGCGAGCTCTTTCTGTAGACGCGGCTGGGTGAACCAGGCACACAACAGCAAGGAAGCTCCATATCCTCCTGCTACATGGTCACATCAATGAGTTGCAGTACAGGCACTTAAAACTGACTGGAGCACAGACACCCAGAATGAGAGGCGCTCCCAAGTTACACAAAACAGGATACCCGCTACGTCCGATTATGTTCATGAACAATTCGCCTTATCACAACGTCGCGCGGTGTCAGGCGAAACTATTAGACCCGGTACGTAAACGCCTCACTACGTATTGCCTGAGAGACTCATTTTAACTAGTCAAAACGCTGGAACAATTGTCACTGAGTGCGGAGCTCATGTACTCCATAGAAGTGGACTTGTTATTCACGAACGTGCTTTTCCGTGAAACGGTCGCTAATTTATATGATTTTATCCTGAGCCGGAATATGTCTGTGGGCTTGCCAGTGGAGTATTTAAGTGATACGATTCCACTGTGCACCGAGAACATACGGTTTGCGTTTGAGGGGACCGCATACAAACAGATCGACGGGGTCACTATGGGCAACCCGCTGGGACCAGTTTTAGGCGACGTCTTCCTCGGCCTGATAGAAAGACTAGTTGCTGAGAGCGTTGGTGAAGCGAAATTGCATAGACGATATGTGGATGACATTTTAGTCTTCACCAGCGGAGAACATTTTACTCGGCTGCTGACCATCCTAAATTCAGTTCACCCTAATCTGTCCGTATCCCATGAAGTGGAAAAACACCACTGCCTGGCGTTTTTAGATATACACATTAGACGACAGGCTGAAGGTACGTTGCAGCGCACTGTTCACCGCAAATCGACTTGGACTGGACGGTACCTTCATTTTTCAAGCTTCGCCCCGATCGCATACAAACGCGGGTTAGTGAGAACTCTCTTCTACCGGGCTAGGCGTATTTGTAGTCCCGAAACATTACAAGCCGAAGAAGAATTTCTACGCAAGACCTTAATTTCCAATGGATATCCTGAGAAGTTTATTCAGGTACACAGCAGACCTCCCAGCGTGAAAACACCGGTGTTGACGGCTGAGAAAAAGAATGTTTATTTGTTCTTGCCGTTCAAGGGGGACCATGTGGCAAATGACATCGGACGCAAGCTCCGATCCGCCCTAACGCGAACCTACAGGACAGCCCAGTTGCGACTCAGGCATACCACGCGAGCACTTGTTCTTCATAACCGTCAGAGCATCTCGTCGGGTAGTTCGGCCTCGCACGTTGTTTATCAGTTCACCTGCGGTTGCGGTGATATTTACATAGGCAGGACAAACCGTCAGTTAGTTCAGAGGGTAGCTGAACACTTGCCAAAGTGGTTTGGACAAGTGATTACGCAACGAAATGGGACAAATCTGAGAATCAGTCGGAGCCCGGCATCGTCTCTCACCAAGCACCTCTTGACAACCCGTCATCACGTAAACCCCGAGACAGCGTTCAAAGTGTTGTTACGTAACAGAAACCTGATAATGCTGGCAATTAGTGAGGTGTTGTTAATTAAGGCCCATCAATTGTGCTAGGTGCATAGAAACTCTTGATGCGATTAATTCGGTGGCCATTGTCTTGACTATGACATTTTGATTGGTGTGATTTATTTTCCCATGTATGTAACCGATTGTACGTTTCTGCTCGTGTGCTGTTTGTGATTGAAGAGAACAATCGAAACGTTGACATATCGCAACTTCTGTCTTCTCTCTGCCTTGAGGAAATATTCTGGTTTACACGGCACTCTGTTATCTACACAACCCTGGCTTTACTATACCATGACCTGTCGTCTCTATGACGCACATGTCACTTTGTGCGCATGTGCAAGCACTACACTTGTAATGACCTTCCCCCAACTTACCTACGGGATCTGTTAATGTTTCTTACTCGTCAAAAATCTTTTTTCTGTTGTTTCCCTGCCTTTCGAGTAGTAACCTTCCGAACACCCCCCGCAATCGTTTCTCTTCGTGTTAATATAGTGACCCTAGTTAAGCCGTCGCGAGCGTTGCTAACCTCAAATTACACATGACCAACGATCTGGCGTCCCTGGGTGTCAATTAGCATCACTGAAACTTTACGTAACCTTTCACGTACAGTTTGCTCTGGAAACTACATCCTACCCCCGCACGTATGTCATATGATTAGCATTGTGGCGCTGGAATCTGTTGTATTTAAGGGAGTTTACTATATGTGATCAACCAGCTATTACCAAAATACTAGGGCAAACATTTTGGGCGAATGACAAATAAATAACAAAGATGTGTACTTACTGAAAGATGACTTACGGCCGCTGGGTGAGAGCGATTATTTATACACAGAGGTTGTGTTACAGTGTGTGACATAAAATATAACAATAAAAAAGTATAGAAAAGTTGCGAATCATGAGTCTTCTCATTGCTCGGTGAAACAAGGGAACGATTGGTTCACACTGTAAAACGGCTCATGCTTAACAGGTCTCATAGGATGGCCATGGTGGATATTGTGAAATACTGAAAGCTTCTCAACAAGAGTGCGTTCATCCCGGAGAACTCAGGGCGGTATAGGTGTTGTAAACTAAAATCACTGTAAGTCCATTAGGAATGAGTACAAACAGGACGTTCGGAAAAATTCACGGCTTCTCGTGGGGAACATATACAAGAGGTTAAAAATGTGGAATATATTCTTTGAGTTTACCGGCAGTGAAATCGCTAACAGACAACCATGTTTGGCATTGGACAATGGGTCATGCGAAACGGTGCAGCAAAATGAGTGTACAGTCAGCTCAAACTTTGAGCACCACCAGCGTGGGAGCACAGATGCCGGATGCCGGTGGAGCATTCCATACTTAGGGAACGAGTACGGAAAAGACAATCCGACGGCATCCCAAACGGCTGTACTGTCCTGCCAGTGACCCGATCTTCCACGGTGCATTCATTCAGTACCATTGCTTTTATCCTTGTTTGCATAGTTGTCACGCAGCAAAACTCGGAAGTGCTCAGTGATAGAGTGTGGGAAAGTAGCAGGTACCTGCACATATTACATCGTTTATGGTTTTACAGAAGAGTAGTAAGGGGAGTTGAATGGTATAGGTAGAAATTCGTCAAACCTAGACTCACTCAGACAGCCGCCACACACCCGGAAAAGCACTGTACACGCGTTTCATCCTTTCGGGAATCGTCAGCTGTGCGCATTCCATCGAACCCTGGTAGGGCTCGAACCCGCAATTCGACTGTTGCCAGTCCGTCGTTTAGACCACTGAGCTACGGGGTACGGCAACTACCGCGGTGAATAAGTTACTAGATATGATATAGCGCCGCTCAATACCCACTGACTTACACCTTACTGCTGTGCCGCTCGTCGCTTGGTGAGGGGGCTACTCTGTCCTCTGCAAGGCAGTAAGGTGTAAGTCAGTGGGTAGTGAGCGGCGCTATATCACATCTAGTAACTTATTCACGATGGTAGTTGCCGTACCCCGTAGCTCAGTGATCTCAACCAAGGACTGGCAACAGTCTAGTTGCGGGTTCGAGCACTACCAGGGTTCGATGGAATGCGCACAGCTGACGATTCCCGAAAGGATGAAACGCGTGTACAGTGCTTTTCCGTGTGTGTGGCAGCTGTCTGCGTGAGCCTAGATGTAACGAGTTTCTACGTATACGTTTTGATAGATAAAAGAGGTTTACTGTAGACCACATGCTCTTGTGTCAGATTTCCTTAATGTTTTTGGAGATTGCTGTGTGTCAACTGTCGCTAACGCAATCATTATATGTATGAAAGTCTAGAGTTTTCTAGAATGTAGTGAGGTTGGCATTCGCGCGTACCTGTGGTAGCAGTTTGTTTCACAGATTGGCATACCTTACTAAGAAGACGGTCGATTGGATTTTATGACTTACAAGTGGTGAGGGGAACAAGTACCGCCGGCAACACAGGTAAAATTGATATCGGTTCTCTGCAGTACAACCAAGTTACTTTCTGTGTAGACCCGGTTATTTATAATGTTGCAAGAGGAGCATGTTCGTTTATCGTCTCAACAAAAGGGGATCCGGTCGGAGGTAATAACATTAATTACGGATCAAACTAATAATGCTTACATCATTTGTTTCACACAACGCTTAGACAACAACCGTTAACCGTTAGTCATCGCATGAGCTTATTGCTCGCTCATATTCAACGTAGTTCCTCACCTGCTTCCTGCTATTTTTTATCTGATTTGTAGAGCAGGCCAGGATAGTCCAGTTTTCCCCCAGGAATCGTATCTTGCGCACCCCGACATCAATTCGGTGCGAACATCCGCAGGAGGAATCCGCGTTGTACCACATACGGCTGCGTGTCTTTACGAACTGCATAACTAACGTGTATGGTAGCACGGCCGATGTGCTGATAGCGGACAAAAGAGAAGAGCAGTCCCGACCATTCTTGTTGGCGAACTGTGCGTACCAACGATCGTACATGGAGCATGTATTGGAACGTGGTCAACGTGAGGCAGTGTATGAAGTGGCCAGTAAGTTGAGTGGTGTCTACTCTCCCGATCGTTCGAATTGTGTTACCATAACGGGTTGTGGTGTGAATATTTCCATATGCAGGTTAGTATCTCCTAGAGGTTGGCTGAGATTAGTGCTATTGGCCAATATGGTTCTGACTCAATCCCAATAACCACTACTCCAACATCACACTAAATGCTTGCTCCTCCTTGGTTTGACCGACTGTTTTGTGTATAACTGAAAGCTATGTGACATTGAATATCAGTGAACTTTGCAAAATTGATCAATTTCAATCGGAAATGTGTTCGTCTTGTGCGACCACCCACTGGACACAATTGCTAATACATCAGTTCGTTTACACTAATGAAACACCAGTAAAGAAGAGAACTGCTTGAAACCACAAAATTTGCGAGTTGTGATTCGAGACACAAGCAAGTACCCGATAAAGAGTGCCTCAAGCAACTACAGTAGTAACCTAGACTTCCAACATCGCAGTGTAAGGTAAAAACTTGCAAAGATTGTAAAAACATGCAAAATACGAAGAGGAAAGTAACTCATCGGGATTTGTTACAGTCAGACAGCCGTCGACAGCTGGCAAGGTCATGAACTGGGACACGCCTAGCTCAGCACCCTTTGGGACGGCCCGTAGGCTTAAGGATCTCATACCTGCCTTGTAATCCCGGGACACGTGTTCTAGCCTGCATAGGGACTGCGGGACCCTCGCAGTCTCCTAAGCCCACGTGCGACTGGTGGTGGTTGCGCGGCAGCAAAGCATTGGTACTGCGTAACGGCGTACCGCTGATGCCTCTGTTTGGTTTCTTGCTCATTACAACTATGGATGAAATAAGTATATGGCATGTATGCTACCGCCACGTCCTAACCAATCAAACGATCATTCGTTAAACTACCAGATGGCAATGGTTTTATGGGATGCGAGCGCCTTCAGAATTATTTCCAATCCTTCAAGCTCCACGGGGAAAGCAAAAAATTGAGTTAATACTGTTTTCTTGTGAGTCAAATTCGTTCTGATTCAATGATACTAAACTAGGTGAGAGATGCAGTTGGTTTACTAGACACACAGAATATTTTTATAACAGACAGCGACTGTATTGTTTGTGATCATGCACACAGCAACAGACGCAAATGCGTCAACATTCTTGTCCCGTACTTTAACAGTAGTTTCGGGAATAGTGGACCAATTAACGTCTGGTCGGGATCACAGACACTACTTACATATAATGTGACGGCACGTGAACGAATCTCTTGATTTGATCTCCACGACAGGTGCACAAATGCAGTCAAGTTGTCGAGGTATTGTTTGTGCACCATCTTCCTGTGCACAACTGCCGATCGGAAAAAATTGGAGCAGTACCATCGGAGAAACTTGCCTAAGGTTTGTCAGTGGGACGACGCGCCGCAATTTTTCACTGCCATTCAAAACAACCACACCAAGTGGTCGATCGGTCTACTTATCTTGGCAGTCTTGTCACTTAGGGTCGTACCAAGGAATAAATTGCAACACCCGTCGCCAAGTTTCAAACCGTATTTTAGCCACATTTACTTGGAGTGTCTGTAAGATGTAAATTTCTTGGTTTGTGGCAGCGTTCTCAGCGCCGACAGAGAACTATTGTCATTGTGTGAATTAGAGACCCAGTCACCATGCACTGGGGACATTGGGAGACTGGCCATGTTTGACCACTGAAGCTCACATTGGATCGCTCATATATGATTGCAACATAGAGCTGGTATTGCCGAAATTCGTCACCTGGAGATACAACAACTATGTCTCCTTGGAAGCCATGTTGAACTCGGATCGTCTCCGCTGACCCTGTCATGTGTTCTGCACGCCTGCGAATGGACTACCTCTCTGTGTTTATCTGACCAATACCGTTTCTGGTCGGGTGCAGTCCCAGACTCATAAGTTAATGTCAAGGCAACCGCATACGAAGAAGTGCATCGAAAAGTTAATTCGGGCTGTGGTTTGTTATCCTCTTGAATGAGGCCCTCGGGGTCTGCACAATCAGCGGTCAAATCCTATGACGGTGATGGCACAAACATTGTCACTGGTGCCCTTTATTACATTTCATTATTTTTGGCCCTTAACTGCTTCATTTTGCTGAATTATTTTTCCTCACCCATTTTGGATCCTCATAATTACAACTAACCCTATTGCTATTTTAGCAACTTGCGTCTAGACTAGTTCATCCGCCTCAACGTAGTGTACGAAAGTGGTTTGTTAGTCCCAACCGAACCGAACATTGTCACCACTGATGAGATCCAAGTATAGTTTGTATTGCAAAGCAAATCTACCATCAGCGGAAGAATTATACACCTCAGCAAGAGGAATCCGTGTGTCAGTTAGGAATTTGCACAAAAACATGTTGTCCAATAACTTGTGTGGAAAAAGGTAGTTCATAAAAGATTCAAGTTGCAACACTGGCTCATCAGCATATCGGGTTACAGTTACCATAATTCATGATGGTCTGCCGATATGCTTTAGCGGTGTACATGACTGGTCTCGTTGGTCCGGTTCCTGGTGGGCATACACGCCAAGAATAGAAGAAACGGCCGATTAGTGCTTTTCCGCAGGCATGGGAAACTGTTCGGTTAGGACTTGACTGCAATGAAGCATAGTTGCTTACTCACAAGTACGTTAATAACTGAGGTTCTTCCCAGCCAGCTTCCAAATCACCTAGTCGTCCACATGCCCGGAAAAAAATAGACTGCAGTTTCAGCCTGTTGGGCATCATCAGTATCACGCATCCATCGGATCCATCAGGATACGAACCCATGACCACCAGCGACTTGAACCGCAAGTCAACAGGTTATGCCACTGGGCCACGGGGGACAGCTTCGGACCGTCATGATTTACAAACCAACTGTGAAATAACGCGTCTTATCCTTCACTGCCATGCAAGTTATGAACGTTGCAAAGGACAGGGTTGGCCTCGAAATACACGACGTACATAGCTACTGTTAGTAGACGTCGTGTCTCTAGGGGCCAACCCTGTCCTCTGCAGCCTTCGTAATTTGTATGACAATGGTGGATAAGACGTGCTATATTTCAGTTAGCTTGTAACTCATGGTGGTTGGAAACTCTCCTCCGTGGCCCAGTGGCATAAGTTCCTGAGTGGCGGTGCCAGACGCTGATGTCATGGGTTCGAATCCTGATGGATCCGATGGAGGCGCACTACCGATGATGCTTAACAAGCTAATACGCAAGTCAAATGCTTTTCCGGGCACGTGGATGCCTAGCTGATTTGGAACTGGCCGCGACGAACGCTCAATACTTTATATCAAATCCCCTACTCATAAGTATACCTTAATAAGTGTGGCGCCAAATCCGCTAGTTATCTTCACCGTCAATTTGTCCATAAAACGGTTCTCAAACAAGTCCTACAATTCACCACTGTCTAATCAGTGACTGAGTGGTTCAGCCGTCTAGTCTGTAATCCAAATGTCGCCGCTTAGAGCTTGCGCAGCCGCGGGCGACCTTACAGTATCCTTAGCTTGCACGTGCCTGGTGATGGAAGCGAAGCATCAAGGCGTCGGTATGACGTACTGGCGTACTACTGGTGCATAACACTAATTTCACTATATGTAAACCCGCTCTGGGAGCGCGGAAGGCTTGGCATTTACTTGTCGCAGTCGCTGAGCTAATTGAGATTAATTAAAATGTAAATCAGAGTCTAGCCCCGAAATTACTTGTCACATCTAGATCACACATCGGGGACCGTAGTGAATAACCGATGAGTTCTCGGATTAGACTTTCGAGCTGCAAAACTTATCCACTTCGTAGGGTTGTCGTCTGAATCGATCCCCGCCACTGCCACGATTGTGTAGTTGGTGCATGTCACTTCCCCTACCACTGACCTGTTAGCTGTCCGGACGACGCGTGACTCACCCAAACCCATGTTCCATCAGTGCCTTTGCTTAACCAATCCCCCAGGATTAGTTTATTTAACGAATTCACTAGTTGGAGGCGCGTACTATCATACTAATTCAAACCGTAAGGCTTGTATGTAGCCGGGATGAGGCCTTGTCTCCTCTTGCAGTTGGTGGCCTGGCTGACAAGCTCAAGGCGAGAAGTGATACGATAGGGACATGTCCGAGCACAAAAGACGAAAATCAGTGCACTGTTTGTCGGATTCCAACTTGTATGAAGTGGATTTGTAGTTACTGCATGAAAGAACGAGTTTCGTTTGCTAGTTAAAAGCACCAGTGTTTGCGAGACCTGAAAAACGAATGGGGATATTTGATTTTTACACTGCCTCTGTTAGTGATTCCCTTAGTCTGGGACTGGCTAGGCGGCAAGTAAGCGTGGAAGTTTGTGAACTGCTCTGCCAGAGTCTCGGCGGACGTGTGGCGAGAACGCGGCAGCAGGAAAGCACTATCTTTATTACAAATGAACAATGACTTACCCGACTAGCACGAGCGCGCGCATAGGAGACCTTTCTATCCCACAACGCACCACACGTTGCTTTTGTGCTCGTCATCACATCCATGCGTCGATCGGATTCAGTCTGCTGGATCCTTCTTACCTATATGCCCTCTTATCTTTACTAGCACCCGCCATATTTTGACCTCACTGCCTTCGTTCTAAGGCTTTTAATTTGCTCAATCTGGGTTGCGTTGTTCTCTGTCGGTTTATTACTAGAGGCGAGAACAAAGACGCACTTCACCTGAAATCCATCTTTCCAACAGTACTTTCACCGTTCTTCTCGACGAAGGCCCTACATTTTTTGTCGCTTATGAACTATTCCCGGCTTGTTCTGCCCGCTTCGGCTATTGGGTAATCAGATTTTAGAGTGAATCAGATTGATATGTAGGGTGTGCTGGGGAGTTACAGCTTCACCTGGTCGAGTAGTATGTCCAGAGGAAACTGCTGGTACTTGCCATTGCAGTTGTCTGTCAGTCCCTGCATCCGACGGCTGTTTGGCATGTCTCATCCTAATTGCTGTCCTTACTTAGTTATTGTAGATCCCGTTGTCACGTTTGTTTGCATCGTACACGGCCCATG